CTTGGTGAAGAACAAACCAGGTTTAATCTCTGGAAGGTGAAGGAAGAAACTGGAAAGACCCCAGGGGGCTGCCCCGACCCCTGCAGAGATGTGGGGCAGGATGGTGGCACCCGCCAGGGCCCGAAGTGCAAAGTACAAACGCATTTCGCGCGCCGATCACGGAGCCGAAACGCGTCTTTCTGCCGCAGGAACGCGTGCGAGCGCGCCTCAGTGAGGCTTGTATTAAAAAGTGAGCTACAAAAGGCTACAAAAGTGAACTTGTCCCCAAATAAATAAACCACTGACTCGTGCCCGTGCTGTGCCCCGGTGCCCGGCCATGCTGAGGTCACCAGCACCCACCTCGCCATCCCACCGTGGGGCTGCTGTTCTGCGAGGGGCCACCCGGAGAGACACTGAAATGCTTTTGGCTGTGCCTGGCCCCATGAGGGACCTTTTCCCGGAGCTCTGTGGGGCATGATGTCCCCAGGGCTGGGATGGGGCAGGAGCACAGTGTCCCCAAGCCCTGTCTGAAGGGGACAGGGGCCTTTTCCAGCAGCTGTACACTGGGACGCTGGGTGGGAGCAGGGGACAGTTGCTGGGAGAGGGCAAGCAGCGTCCTTGTGTCCATCAGGACCTGCCCAGTTCCCTCACAGGGACACGCTTTGGGTCCCTCCGTGTCCCGGTGGCCACACTAGTCCCTGCGGTGCCAGTGCTCTCTCCACTTGCCAGGGCAGTGCCCAGTCCCACGTCCCCGCGGCAGCGAGGGCACCCACCGGCCAGTGCCGCTACGTGCCCAGGGGCAGGAATGTGACGTTGCCCTCCATGTCCAGGCACAGCCCCTGGCTGCCCTCAGACCCTGGCTCCGAGCGCCCACTGCCACCACCACCCTTTGGCAGTGTCTCCTCCAGCGCCCGTCGGTTGTCCACGTCCCTGGGGCGGGTGACAGGTGAGTCCTGGTCTCCGGAGCCCGGTGACAGGTGCTCGATGTCCGCCAACTCCGAGTCATCTGTGGCTGGTGTCTTGGAGCCACTGTTGTCTTCATCCAAGGGGCTCTCAGCTCCCTCTGGCTCTGTGTCCAACTCACCCTCCTCCTCCTCCTCCAGCGTCAGCTCGAACTGGAACTTGTCAGTGGTGGCGGGGGACGCTCCGGGTTCCTCAGGTGGTGGGGACGGGCTGCGTGGGATCATGCTCTGGTACCATTCCCGGTTGTCCTCCAGTGTGTCCAGGATCTCCTGGGCATCGGGGTGCACCAGGTCTGCCCACGTCTCCCACAGCGGGTGGGCGATGAAGTCGATGAAGCCCACCTGGGGGAAGGCATAGCTGAGCTCCCAGCCCAGCCCTGTGGCCCCAAGCCCAACCCCGTGCCGCTGCCCCACCTGGGACTTCTCCACGGAAGCGATGTGCTTGTCGCACATGGGGCTGATCTCCATCCCTTTCTCCCGTTCTCGGTCACCTTGGCGGAAGAACTCCACCATGATGCGGTCGGTCCATTGCCGGTACAGCTCCAGCGGCTTCGTAGGGTTGCTGAGGTCGGCACAGTGCACCATGTTCTGCAGGACCTGCAGACACAGCCATGGCATTGCTTACCCAAAGTCCTTTGTCCCCCAAGGCCACCATCCTTGTGCTAGGCACCCCCTTGGCCATGGCCAGCTCAGGTTGGGAGGGGTGGGGGCACCGAACGGGACATCCCGGTAGCCCTGGCGCCTGCAATGCCGGGAAGGTTTCCGCACCCGTGTCCCCGTGCCTACCTGGATCCGGTCGGAGTAGTTGTCCAGCAGCAGCACCCCCAGGCTGGTCACCTTCTTGGTCTCCACCATGGTTTTCAAATCCGCCAGCAGATTCATGTGCTTGGACATGTCTGTGGCCAGCACCTGCGCAGGGCAAGCCAGTACTGGGGCTCAGCCTGATTCCACCACAAAGCCCCTCCAGCCCAGATCCCCCACCCTGGGTCGGTCCGAGCCCCCCCATACCATGTCGATGGCCATTTTGCGCAGTGACTGCCTCTGCTTCTTGCTCAGGTTTTGGAAGATGTCACAGTTCTCCTCCTGGAGAAGCTTGAAGCCCACAGCCAGGTGGTGGTTCTCCAGCACCGAGGCATCGTTGTACATCAGTGCCAGTTCTGAGTCTGCGAGACAGCACCAGTCACCCCAGGGTGGCTTCTGGACACTGGGGTCCCCCACGCCCCCCCAGCTCCATCCCTGCACCCCGGCTCACTGGTGTTGATGAGGAACTGGTTGGAGACACCGGGGTGGTCAACATCATGGATGGCGCTGGCGAAGATGGCAGCCATGATCTCCAGGTCCGTGAAGACAGCCTAGGAAAGGTGGAAAAAGACATTGCAGATGTGTTATGGCCCCGCCAGGCATGCTTGGTGGCCTCGGTGGCCTTGGGTGACCAGGGCTCACCTCCAGTGCGGGCGTGGAGAGGAGGACATGGGTGGACTGAGCCACATCAGCAGCATGGATGTTGTTGTGGTAGGCCACATCGGCGTGGTAGTGATCCTCCAGTGTCAGCATGTAGGTGATGAAGGTGTTGACAGGGATGCGGAAGGTCTTCATCAGGTCACGCTCCTGTGGGAAGGTGGGAGGTGGCTCATCCCCATCCAGGCACGGAGATGGGGACACCCCGTTGGGATGCTCACCTGGAAGATGCTGTACATGATGACCGTCAGCGGGCGGTTGCCTGAGTACTCGGCAACTTTAAACACGTTGAGCCCCCACTTGTTGGTGTCCTCCAGCTCCTGGGGAGCAGAGGGACAGAGGTCCACAGGGGGCCAGCGCCGGGGACCCTACGGCCAGCCGGGTCACCTACGCTGGAGCCCACCTTGGCCAGCAGCTCCTCCTGGTCCGTCCGCACCCCAAAGCGGGGGATGCCAGCGGTGGCGAGGCTGGAGCCGTGCGTCAGCTTCCGGACACCGCTGATCTGGGACATGGGGCGCTTCCTCCGCTCCTTCTCCTTGTCCTTGGCCAGCGCCGCGGGGATCTCCACCTCGTGCTGCTTGTCTGGGCCAGCGCAGGGCAGGCAGTGAGTGAGGGGGAGCCCAGTCATGTCCCCCTGGCCCTGGCATCCCCCAGTCATGCCAGTGACATCAGCGGCACAGATAACACCGCGGTGCCATGGCAATGTGGAGGGCTGGGGGGTGGGTGCCCTCACCCCCTGCACAGGGCCACCTGCCTGCCATGGGACCCAGACCCTGCTCTG